TCTCGAGGTCTGTCGTCATTCTGTCTGAGTGTTGGAATCCTGTATAGGAAAAATTCCAACGGCAATGAGAGAACATATCTTTTACTTTTGCCAACTGACATCCGTGATAACATTCTTCTCGTTTGCCATGATGAGCCCACATCTGGTCACTTAGGTTCCTCTCGAACTCTCGCTCGAGTTCGACAAGCATACTACTGGCCTAAGCTTCCCGCATCCGTAAAGCGATACGTCAAAAGCTGCCGGGAATGTCAACGCCACAAATCCTCGCCACTGAAGCCCGCGGCGCTTCTTCAACCATTAGAACCACCTAGAGCTCCATTTAATCAAATAAGAATGAATTTATTGGGGCCCTTTCCCCTATAATCTGCCGGTAACAAGTGGATCGTAGTAGCCACCGACTATTTGAAAAAGTACGCCGAAACAAAAGCACTACAACGCCCTACGGCTTCCAACGTCACCCAATTTTTATGAACCAGATTGTTCTTCGACATGGCGCCCCGTCGTGCGTAATCACAGACAGAGGAACAGCATTCATGGCACAACTCATTCATGACGTATTCAAGCTCAGCTACACGAGCCATAGCAAGACCACACCATATCATCCGCAGAGCAACGCCTTAACAGGTTGACTCAACAAGACCATCGCTGACATGTTATCCATGTGCGTAGATGTCAGGCATAAGACCTGGAACCAGGTGCTACCAAACGTCACATTTGCCTACAATACTGCCGTCCAGGAAACTACGCAATTCACGCTTTTCCGTCTTGTCTATTGACGTGAGGTTCAGACCATGCTGAATGCAATGCTTCCACACAATTGTGATGCTTTGATCACTTCTGACGTTTAGTAGCTTACACAATATGCCGAAAAAGCAGGCCAGTTAGCACGCCTACACATTAGCACCAGCAGAGTACAGACGCGTTCCGTTACAACGCTCGTAATCGACAAGTTGAATACCATCCAGGCGATCAAGTTTGGGTGTGGACTGCAGTCCGAAGCCAGGGAGTATCAGAAAAACTGCTCAGTCGCTACATGAGACCGTACAAAGTGTTGCGACGCGTGAGCGATGTGAACTTTGAGGTAGTCCCTGACGGCGCCTTCTTGCCAAGGTGGCGAAGGCACTCCTCGGAGATTGTGCACGCAGTGCGACTGAAGTGGTACTTCCACATGAACCTTATTGCTGTTTTTTTGTATGCGTGTATTTTCTCTTGGTCCGGCCCGACTTTGCCTTTGTACATTCCAAGCATCAGAGTGATGCGCATTTGTTTTTTTCAGAGGAGAAATAATGCCACTTAGCCGCTAGGTAAGGTGAGCGCAAGCCATGGCTGCCCGATAGATTGGAAGACGATGTTTTGAAGCAGCACGCGCTCTAGTTAGTTGATTTTTGAAGCAGACATCTTGACAGTTTTCGGTGCGTCTCTCTGCCGGCTCAGTTCTTTCGAGTTGAAGACCTTTTGTAGCAAGGGACAATACGAAAAGTACTAATTTTTTTAAAACGCTAACAATAATTTATGACTAAAAGGTCATAAATCATAAACCCTACCGACAACATTGCAGGATGGAGTGGTATCTGTTGTCGGTATGGTAACGGGAAGTGTTGCCTTCTCAGCGTGTCTAATTCTTTACTATGAATTGAAATGTTGAAGTACTGTGAGTGCTTCTCCTTATCTATCACACAAAAGTTGATCGCTACCTGACAAAAGAAATTTATGTGTTGCATGTGTATGTCCTTTTCTTAACTTTGTAAGGATTACTTCTGTGTGGCGTGATTTTGATACTGGCGGCCTATGACCAAGTTGCGGCTTGATGACATGCAATTTATTATCTGTCTGTGTGTCCCATGTGATCTGTCAATAGCCTCTGAGCTTTTGTTTTAAAAAAGGTTTCAAGTCGAGTGCAGGAACTGGTATCGATGTATTAAAAGCAGTTTTGTTGGCGCACCCAGCTAGCCAGTCCACCAAAATGTTGCCTTGAATTTCACTGTGTCCTGCCACCAAGCAGACTACAACATGCTGCTCAGATGAGTAGACTGTGCATACGCGCGAACAAAGTGAGATAAGGAAGGGCTCTTGTGCTATTTAAGAGTTTTCAGAGCTTTTACAATGCTGAGGGAGTCTGTATATACTATTTCCTTCTGTAGATTTATTTGTTTATTGTGCTTGACCGCTGAGAGTATCGCATAAGCTTCGCCGGTGAAAATGCTTGAATCAGAGTGCAGAACGCCGGCTTCCAAAGAGAATGGGCCCACGGCTGCGTACGATACAGAAGTATTGGACTTTGAAGCATCCGTGAAGAACTCAGGACATGTGTATTTCTGTTGTAGTTCTAGCAAATATGTCTGGATATGTGCAATTGGTGCATGGTTCGTTACCTCCAAGAAAGACACGTCGCAATTTTTCGCCTGCTATTGCCACGGTGGCAGGTACAGTGCAGGAGCCATAAAATGGTGTTTAAGTGGCACACTGGTTTCCTTCTCTAGGTCCCTCCCACGGAGTGAGTAGGGCTGTCTCATAGAAAGTCGTTTTTCAAACACACCAATGCTTGACATGTCATTAATTGTAGAATGTGATGGCTGATTCTTGTCTGCATTTTCATTAGGATAATATTTAGAAGACATGTAACCTCTCTGTAGGTGGAGTGACCATTCGTTCGATTCCACGTACAGGCTTTCCACGGGGCTAATGCGAAAAGAACCCGTGGAGCGACGGATGTCCAGATGATGAACAGGGTCAAGCATTTTAAGTAAGTAGGTGTCGCAAACTTGTATGCTATTGCCCCATAGGCGGGGCGGGTACGTACAAGGCTTTATACAAGTTCATTAGACACTTCTTGTCACTTCCCCACGTAGTGCGTGACAACTCTTCCAGAACGTTCATGGCTTTTATGTACTTGTTTTTTAAATACTTCTTGTGTGGTATGAAGGTTAGCTTAGTGTCCACGATTAGGCCTAAGAATTTGTGTTCGGTGTTAACAGAAAGGCGTTACCCATGCAGTTGAATATCAGGTTCGGAATTAAGGCCTCTTTTTTAGGAAAACAAGACACGCGTGCTTTTTTGTGCATTCAACTGAAACCCCTTTTCTTCAGCCCAATTGGTAACTTTGTTCAAACCAAGCTGAACCTGGCGCTCACACAAGGCCAGATTGCAAGATCTAAAGCCAAGCTGGACGCCATCGACTTATGTACAATAAAAGTTATTGCCAGGGATGGACAATCGCAAAGAATTTATTTTGATGACAATAAGTGTGCAACTATGTACACCACCTGGTGGCACGCCTGTTTTTTGGACAAATTCTTGGGAAAGAATGCTGCCTACTCGAACTCTTGATGTGCGATTTGACAAGTAACTTTCGATTATGTTAAACATTCTTCCACACATGCCAAAATGGGACAGGTCTCTTAATATTCCAAAGCGTCATGTTGTATCCTATGGCTTTTTGTTATTGAGGAACACAGAGAGAAAGTGTGGCTTATGAACGAAAGCGTTTATGATCTGTGCCTTGATACGAACAAGGTGGTCGGTGGTGGATCAACCCTCTCGAAACCCGCACTGAAATGGGTCGAGCAAATTGTTTGTTTTAATGAGATGTACAAGTTGGCAGTTGATCATTTTTTTGAAAAGGTTGCACAGGCAGCTCGTAAGCACAATTGGCCTATAACTCGAAACTGAGGAAGGGTCCTGGCCCTGTTTGAAAAGGGGAATAACAATAGCGTCTTTCCAGAAAGTAGGAATAGCGCCAGAGAACCAGACAGCATTGTGCAACCAAAGTAAGGTTTTTTTGCGTTTCGATTGGTAGGTTTTTAACATTTCGTACACCACACAGTCAGAACCTGGAGCGTAGTCACTGCAGAATTTCAGTGACGTTTGAAGCTCAGGTAAGCTGGAAGCATGGTAGTACGCCGCGTATCTTGTGCATTTGTGTTCCAGTTTTCCCTTTTCTATTTTCGTTCTGTATTTTTGGAAAGCGTCTGTATAGTGCGACGAGCTTGACACCCGCTCGAAGTGAGCACCGAGGAAGCTCGCCTGATCTTCCAAGGTGTCACCCGGTGTGTTTACGAGTGTGAGTGTGTGTACTTGTCTTCCTGCTACCCTACCAACCATCTTCAAAACTGTAGCCTCCTGTGTATATGAATTGATTCCCGATAAAATCTTTTGCCAACTTTCTCTTCTGGCCTGCCGACGTGTTCGCCTGGCCTGAGACTTCATTTTCCTAAAATTTTAAGATTTTCGGCTGTCGGTGAGTTCCGAATCAACATACATGCTTTGATTTACTGCTTGCGTGCTTTTCGGCACCCAGAGTTCCACCATGGCACACATCGTTTTCCAGGGTGTCTACTCGTTTGTAGGATGCATTTTGTTGTGCATCAATCAAAAACGAAGTGAAGTAGTTCACAGCAGCATCAATCCTTAAAGTGCATATGTCGCGGCAACCTAAATGAGTGATGTTATAAAACTGTTTCCAATCGGCTTTGCTAAATAGCCATTTGGGAAACGGTGGCGGGCATTCAGTTGATGTAGGTGTGCTCAAAACTACAGGAAAGTGGCCACTTCCGTCGGCATTAGTGATGACTTTCCAGTGAAGTACAGGCACAAGCGATGGAGATACTATGCTTAGGTCTATTGAGGAATAAGTATTGTTAGCGAGGTTATAATAAATTGGTTCTTTTCGATTCAGAAGACACGCACTGGAAGAGAGAAGAATCTGTTCAATCAATCGACCTCGGGCATTACGATCGAGAGTTGCCCCATAGCCTGCTATGCGCACTCAAGTTTCTAAGGTGTTGTAACTTAGGCGCGCGCAGCGAAGCAGCAAGGACGATGGTCGGGCAGTCAACGAGCAGCGTTTATTGTCCGCAGCGTGGTTATATGCATTGGCATTAGGAGAGGGTGAAGGGAGGGGGGAAAGGGAGAATGAAGGCGCACAGGGCCCAAACGAAATGGTGCGCGCGCAGCTGGTTTTGCTGGCGTTACAAACTCAACAATACAACATTTCTTTCCTCTTAAAAGTGAAACCGTTGTACCGGGTTCCTAACTCTTGTCGATCGCCTCAGCGTTGGTTGATGCGGGACCACCTCAGGCGAGGGATCGTCCGTAGCGACTGGAGGTTCCGTAGCAGTTGATGGGGAAAACTCACTCCGACCATCCGCGCCCGGTAGCTCTGGGCTTCGCTCTTGCTCATTCCGCCTGGACGTGCGTTGCAACGGAGGAGACTGGACAGGGGTAGCCACGCTGGCAGGTTCAGCTTCAGCGTCCGCGCCTTCCGTCGTCCCCGCAGTTGCAGACTCCGGCGTCGATTCATGGCGGCGGCCGACTTGGTCGATATGACGCTGCACTAACCCTCTTGGTGTGTCCACTGCTATCATTCTCGCCCCCGACGCAGCTTTTACGCGTCCAGGCGTCCATCTTTTACCGGCACCGTAGTTGCGCACGTAGACGCTGCTTCCTGGCGAGATGGTGCAATCGTCAGCACCCGGCCACCAGTTCTCATCCCTGGGTGGCAGGCAGGTGTCAAGACGGGACCGCAGCTGGTAACCGAGAAGCATCTCCGAGGGTGACTTTCCTTCCTTTTGCGGGGTCCTCCTGTAATGGAATAGCAGGCGCATGATGTTATCTTCTAGTGAGCCATCTTGCATTTTCCGCAAACCATCCTTAAGGGTTCGCACTGCTCTTTCCGCTGCTCCATTCGACTGAGGATGGAAAGGCGCTGTACGCAAGTGCACAATATTGTTTCTTGCTATAAACGTGGCGAACTCCTGGCTCGTAAACTGCGTGCCATTATCGGACACGATTGTGCGTGGCACTCCGAACCGACAGAACAGACTTTGTAAACAGCGAATAGTACCCGCTGTGTTCGCATGCATCATAGGTATTGCTTCAATCCACTTTGTGTGAGCATCTACCACCACAAGTATCATTTTGCCGGCTATTGGGCCCGCAAAATCGATGTGGATTTGGGACCACCTCTCGGCCGTTTTCGGCCAACTCACCGGTGGGGCTGCCGCAGGCATGGGCAGGTTTTCTACACAGCTTACACACTGCGCCGACAATTCCTGAATCTCCCTGTCCATCCCTGGCCACCAAAACAGTGCCCGTGCCACCGCTTTCATTGACGAGGAGCCTTGGTGTGTTTCATGTAGCAGCTGCAACATCCTTTCCTGCGCCTTCTGTGGTATGACGACTCTGTTGCCCCAATAGATTAGCCGGGGAGCCATCGACAGCTCCATTTTGCGATCAAAAAAGGGCAGCAAGTCGGGCACCAATCCACTTGTTGTTCGAGACCAGCCATGCAAGATGTATTCCGCCACACGGGCTAACAACGAGTCCTTGGCAGTGAGCTCCTGCAACTCGTGCGTCGTCACTATACCTTCGTCTAGGGCCTCCAACGACAGGGCGTACTCGGGAGGCTCCCCTTCGGCTACTGGTTCCGCTGCCGCCGGGGCTGGTAGTCTGCTGAGGGCATCTGCTGTCAGTAGTTGTTTCCCCGGAACGTACTGTAGCTTGTACTGGTAGCCTCCTAGGAACAGTGCCCACCGTTGAATGCGCGCGGCGGCAATCGGCGGCGTTTGGCGGTCAGGCTTGAGCAGTCCCAGCAGTGGCTGATGGTCGGTTACCAGGGTGAATTGCCGACCTAGGAGGTAGTCAAGAAAACGAGAAACGCCAAAAATCAGTGCCAAGGCTTCTCGCTCCAGCTGAGAGTAGTTTCGCTCCGCTTTTGTTAACGTTCTGGAACGAAAACCGATTGGTCTGTGCTCATTTCCCGCCGAGTGAAACAGAACAGCACCTACGCCATACGGGGAAGCATCACATTCTAGCTTCAGTTCGCTGTTGGGATCAAAATGAACGAGAAGCTGCGCATTCTTCAACATTTCTTTCGCTTTCTCGAACGCTCACTGCTGCGGTTCCCGCCATTCCCAACGGGCTCGTTTTTTCATGAGCTGATACAAGGGGCTGAGCACAGTCGACATGTTGGGCAGGAAACGTGCGTAGAATGTGAGCATGCCAAGGAACGAGCGCAATTCGCTAACGTTACGCGGGCGCGAGGCTTGCATGATGGCGTCTACGTTCTTTTCAATGGGGTGGAGGCCTTGCCGATCTATACGATGGCCAAGGTAAGTCACAGAAGGTTGCCGAAGCTTGCATTTGTCAATCCTAAGTTTAATGCCGTTGTCACAGAACGAGCGCTAAAAATGAGCGCGCCGCCAAATTCTTGCGACAACGGGCGGGAGAAACGCCGCGAGGTCAAAAGAGAAAAAAAAAGAGAAAACAAACATCCAAGGCTCCCGGGCGCGCGCTCTCCCCGCAGAAGCGTGGCTTCATCGACGAACCTCCTCACCCCACAACGGCGGTCGAGCAAGGCCGCGATTTTTCTAGAACGAAGGAGGCGTGGCCACGCCGAGATGAGTCATCCGACGCGGAGGGCAGTCGAACCGTCTCGCGCCTCTCCCCAGCCTTCGTTGCGCATCGCGTCGACGAAATGAGGAGAACTTTCTGGAAGGTGGCGCGGAAGGTATTTAATCGAGCCGCCGAGACGAGAGAGCAGGAGGAGACGGAAGTTAACGCCAGAGCGCGTAGGGATTCCGCCGTGTAGTCGGCGAAGGTTTTGGTCCGTAGGGACGAAGCCGGAGATGAAGAGGATTTCCACCTGAGGGGTGAAGGCTCGGGCTACAGGCAAGAGCGTGTGTTTACCGCTATCGAGCGAAGACCCGTGGCAACAGCTGCGGGTGTGAAGCCGACGTGTTCCGGCGAAGAAGTTGAAGCTTGAAGAGTGGCCAATTGAAGACGGGAGGTTTTCTGGAAGAGAAACTTCGAGGGCGCGGAACGACAACAACGCTGGACTTTGAGTGAGTGATTCTCGGAAGAGTATCATTCAGACTTTTGTTCCAAGGACTTTGGACTGAACAGGTTTTATATCTCTTTAGTCTTTAAGTGTCTTGGTTGTTCAATGCATGCGACTGCATTGTAGTGCGTATCGTTGTCTGTGTCCGTTGTTTTGAGTGTGGCTGATTGTACTGTGTAGTACGTTGTTTGATTGGTGACGTATTGTATGGAACTATTGTGGAGTGTGCATTCTTGTGTGTTGTTTTCGATCTGCCATTTTTGAGAATATAATATTTGTTTTGTTTATCAACTCTCGGTTCTGACTTGTTCTTTGGGCCACAGCCGGCGTCCGCTGGCGCGCGAAAAAGGACCACTTCTAAATTGTCCACGCTTTCGTGGTGCGGTTCGGGGGGCCGATACCTCGGCCCTTGGAATTAGCCCGGCGATCGCCTCCCTAATTAACGGGACCGGTGTGACAGCCGTGCTCTCGGAACCGCTCCAACACTCCCTTGAGCTGCTGTCCGTTATCACTCTTGCCTTCTGACACTAGCACGTCTTCAAGGTAGGCCTGAACACCCGACAGCCCGCCGCGTACTGCATCCATCTTTCTTTGAAAAATGGCCGGTGCGGAAGCTATTCCAAACGGAAGTCTGTTATACCGGAAAAGCCCACGGTGCGTGTTAATGACGGACAGCCCGCTGGACGCTTCGTCAAGGGGCACTTGATTGTATGCATCTTTTAAATCCAAGATGCTGAAATATTCGCCTCCGTTTAAGCTCGCGAACATGTCCTCTATCACCGGAAGAGGGTAATGCTCCACCTCACATGCCGGATTGAGGGTAGCCTTAAAGTCACCACATATCCTCACGCTCCCGTCCTTTTTCAAAACGACCACAATAGGTGTAGCCCATTCTGCATGTTGCACGGGCGATAGAACACCAAGTGACACCAGCCGATCAATTTCACGAGAGACCTTATCGCGGAGGGCGTAAGGAAGAGATCTGGGCTTACAAAATTTCGGTGTCGCTGTCTCCTTGAGTTTTAGGCTGGCTGGTGGACCCTTGATTAGCCCAAGGTCTGTTGAGAAAACATCCTCGAACTCGCCGAGCAGTCGGTTCAGCCTAGGGTCGCTTGGCTTGGCACTTGCTGTAGGGTCCGGCGCAGTCAGGTCTCCAATGGGAACGCCCGTCTTGCTAAGCAAAGCAATGAGGACGCGGCCACATAGGTTGGGTCCTGCACAGTCAAGCACGATGAGCGGGCAAGGCACAGATACACTTTTATACTTCACTGGGAGTTCGAGTTCCCCCAACACCGGAAGCTGTCCCGCGTAACATGACAGCTTGATTCGTGGTGGTTGTAAGCGCGGCCACTGTGCGTGGTGTCGATCGTACACTTGGCGCGATACGACGCACACCGGGGAACCCGTATCCACTTCCATGGCAAGGTCTACGCTGCACCATCAAAACGTGCGGCGTATGGGTGGTTCCAAACCGTTTTTTCTTCCCGAAATCAACGTCCAAACGTGTGCGCTATTCAAGTCGTCGTTGCTAGACGCGCTTTCAACTGTCAGTGCCTTTACACTCGCTGCCCGCCTTCCCACCTTTGCATCAGTTGGAGCACTGTAGCATTTCTTTGCCAAATGACCGCGCCGCCCACAGTGATAGCAGCGTGCGTTAACCCAGCGGCAGGCGTTATCGTCGTGCTTCGTGCTTCCACATCGGCCGCAGTCATGCGACGCGCCTAGTGTGTGATTACCTCGAGAGGGCGAGCGATGATGGACTTGCATTTTTAGCACAGTCGGCGGCTCGGCACTCATATCTTTTATATCGCTGTCGGTTGCTTCGGCTGCAATGGACATTGATTCAGCCTCTTCGAGGGTTAAATCTTTATGTGCCAGTAACTGCTTGCGCAAGTTAATTGAGCGTACGCCGCAAACAATCCTGTCCCTCAACATCCGGTTCAGCGCACTTCCGAAGTTGCAATTGTCTGCTATGCGCCGTATTTCGACTAGGAATGCGTGCACCGACTCCCCTTCTTGTTGGCAACGTGTGAAAAACTTGTAGCTTTCTGCAATCTCGTGACGCTTGGGATCGTAGTAGTCATTTAATGCCGCGACCGCTTCGGCGTAAGTAAGGGAATTCGGTGCAGTTAGCCCCGCTAGCACTTGCACAGTCTGCGTGCTGAGTGCTGCCACCAGAAGTGCTCTCTGCCTTTTGGAGTCAGTAATGGCATTTGCCTCAAAATACGCTTCAGCCCGAACAAGGTATGGTTTCCACTTATCTCTTGTGCCGTCGAACACTGGGAGCTGGAGGCTGGTCATGGTCGCCGGTACTTGTTCCGGCAGGCCGTCGGCTTCAACTTTCACGGCAGCATGGGCGGATCCCATCCTCGTCGCCACTGTTGTAACTTAGGCGCGCGCAGCGAAGCAGCAAGGACGATGGTCGGGCAGTCAACGAGCAGCGTTTATTGTCCGCAGCGTGGTTATATACATCGGCATTAGAAGAGGGTGAAGGGAGGGGGGAAAGGGAGAATGAAGGCGCACAGGGCCCAAACGAAATGTTGCGCGCGCAGCTGGTTTCTCTGGCGTTACAAACTAAACAATACAACACAAGGAGAGCAAAAGGTTCTGGAAATTCATAAAATAAGGACTGGAATTCATGTTTTTGTAGGTGACAGCTTGGAGGTACGTAAAAAGTGCAAATTGTCATGAGTTTGTCGAAAAGCACAGCTCGAACAGCCACTGCCTCAAGAGATGTTTGAAGTTGAAAGTGTGTGCATGCAATTCCTGGATTCACTATGATGGCAACACCTCCAGATGATGTCACGGCATCATCAGGGTCTTTTCGCAAAATAGCATATATACGTAAAAAGTTGGTGTGTTTTGCATTTAGCTGTGTTTCTTTTACACACACCACTTCACTTTTGGTGAGTGTTTGTGTAAAAGTTCTTGTAAATCGTCATGGTTCCAGAGAAGGCCCCTGATATTCTATTGAATTATTTGAGTGTTCATGGTAAAGTTATAGTAGTGCTGAGTGTATGAGCAGCGAGTTTGTTTAGGCGGGAAATTAGAATTCAAGTAACAGGGTCATCACCAGGCCCCGTTATTTGCTTTTTTGATTTCTTCACGCGCTCTAAGGAGCCACGTCACTCCTCCGGCACCAAGGGTACCGACGTATCCATTGCCTCCTCGGAGGCACTGGATGCCCACACGTGTGAGCTGGTTGCTCGAATTCTGCGCCTCGCCTAGTGAGGCGAGGCCTCGACACCTGAGGACCCTGAGGTCTCCGGTCTCTGTTCGGGAGTAGGCGGAGTAGTCTGGACTAGAGCAGCCTTGGGGGCAGGTGCCACAACCTCCGGCTCGATATGTGCAGGCCGAGGGAGTGGCGAGCGCTAGTGCGGCGGTGCCCCCTGACGCACTGCATCAGCATACGTTGGGCCATACAATGGCGAGACTTTTCCTTGCTTCCTCAAAAGAAACGTTTTCTTTCTTCCAGTATGGACAGGAACGTGAATACGCAGCATGCTTTCCGTCACAGTTTACACAGTGCGGCTGCTCTTTGCAGTTCTCAGACACGTGGTCCAGGGCTCCACATAGTGCACAGGTCTGGCGACTATGACAGCTTTTAGAGCCATGGCCATACCTTTGACATTGGAAGCAACAAATGGGGTTTGGTATGTATAGCCTGATCGAAGTTTTCGTGTACCCTGTTTGAATGGTTTCTGGCAATTTACTGGAAGCAAACATGAGTTATAGGTGTTTCGTTGGTGTTTCCTTTTTGTCTCTTCCTATGATAATTCTCTGTAAATTAGTCAGATTTTGGCTCTTCCACCCCTTCAAAAGTTCAGTCTCGGTCAGGTCAAGTAATTCCATGTCAGATATCACTCCGCGAGTTGTGTTCATTGATCTGTGTGGTGTTAAGGTTATTGGTATGCCACCGAAAGCTAAGAGACGGTCTAGCTTTTCAAATTTTTCTTTGTCCCGTATTTAGAAGAGGAGGTCTGCGCTTGCCATTTTGGTTACCTTGTATCCAGCGCCAAGAGTTTCGGT